TGATAAAGAAACAAAAAACAGGTTGTACTATATATAGATGACAATTGACATTTAGTTTTTTGAAAGCGGTAATGGAATGGTAGGCTATATGAAGATAATAATAAGGTGTATAGTTGAAGGATAGGTGTGTTAAGAAAGGAATCTCAATAAAAGTCAAAACATACCGTTGGATGTGGCACTGCGGGAGGCGGTTGAAACACTGGCAGTGTCAAAAACTCTAGTTAGCAGTGTCAAAAAAAAAGTTCTAGTAAAAATAACCATATATATAATAAATATATATATAATAAATCTATATATATATATATATATATAATAAATTTTAATAAATATATTTTAATAAATATATATATTTTAATAAATATATATATATATAATAAATAACAATATATATAATAAATCCATCTATATATATATATATACATACACATATATATATATATATATATATATATATATATATATATATATATATATATATAAAAGGAGAAGTAAAAGAAAGTATAAATGGAAGTGAGAAGATTAAATAGAGGTTTATGATCGAGACTTTTTTAAAATGTTGATGATTTGGGAATAGGCGAGTGATAGATTTTGCTTGTCGGTTTTTAAGTTTAGTGGTTTGTAGTCTAATTGAATGAAAACACTTTCCGTAAGTAGTCTTTTGTCGTGGTTAGGTACTGTGGCAAGAATGGAGGTATTGTCAAAGTCAAATGTGTGGTTTGAGGTTAAGGCGTGTTCAGAGAGTTTAGAAGCAGTAGAGTTCTTAGAAGTAATTGAGTATTTGTGTTGTTTGATGCGGTCTTTAAGTTGGTTTTTGGTTTCTCCAATATAGGCGGAGTTACAATTGGTGGTAGAGCAAGGAATGCGGTATACGATATTAGAGCGGTGTTGCGGAGCGATGGGGTCTTTTAGGTTGGAGTAAATATTGGCAAGTTTGTTATAGTTTTTAAAAGCAACTCGCAGGTTGGGAATAGAGGAACGTAAAGATTTTTGAATTCTATCCGAAAGTAAAGGGATGTATGGTAGAGATCTATATAAAGGAATGGGGGGCTGATTTTGAGAACTAGAGAAAGGGATGGAGGATGAGGGGCGGGTTTTGTAGTCAGTAATAAGTTTTTTAATGGTGTTGGAGGGGAAGTTATTAGACAATAGTATCCGTTGTATGCGTCTAGTGTTTGTTTCATGTAGGTAAGGGTCAGATAGAGAAAAACATCGGTGAATGAGGTTTTTGGCAACGTTAAGTTTTTGGTGAAAGGGGTGTTGAGAATAGTAGTTTAGTAATCTGCCAGAGTATGTTGGTTTTGTGTACCAGTCTGTGGATAAAGTATTGTTGGGATGTCTTTTAATGAGAAGATCGAGGAAAGGGAGGGAATAGTTATCTTCGTATTCAACTGTAAAAGAGAGGCGGGGATGATATGAGTTAAAGGCGGAAAGGATGTCAGGAATAGTATCAGGATTGACGATGAGAAGAAGGTCATCGACGTATTTTTTTATAAGAAATATGTCATTAGGAAACTGTGGGGCTATGGTGTTTAGGAGATCATTAAGAACAATGTTAGATAAGTCGGGTGCGAGAGGATTACCCATAGCTAATCCTGCAATTTGATTATAAAATTGTCCATGGAACTGGAGATAACCAGATTTGCAACAAAGTTGTAGGGATTCAATAAATGATGAACGGTTAAGGGAGGTATGAGACTCTAAGGATGACCAGTTATTTTCTACTATAAGAAGGGCTTTATCTATAGGGATGTTGGTGAAGAGGCTTTTAACGTCGAAAGAGACTAGAATGTAATTATCGGGAATGGTTAGGGATAATAACAAATTACGTAGATGAAAGGAGTTGTGGATATCATATGGATTGTCATGACTAAGGATTTGTAAGGATGGGAGTAGAAATTTGCTGAGTTTTAAAGAGGGAGAGTTGATATTAGAAGTGATAGGACGGAGGGGAGTGCCGGGTTTGTGAATTTTTGGAAGACCATAGAAACGGGGAGCCACGGAGTTATAAGAGATGAGGTTTCTGTAAGTAGGATATGTGATTTGTTTAGAGTGTAAGAGGTTTCTGATATGTTGGTTAAATTGGATTTTAAGAGAAGGAGTGGGGTCACGAGTTGTAGGAGCGTATGTAGATATGTCTGATAGGAGTTCAGTCATTTTTCTATTATAGTCTGTGAGGTCCATGATAACTGTTTTATTTCCTTTGTCCGCTTTAGTGATGATGATGTCGTCATGATTTTTAAGGAAGGAGCGTGTGGAAGAAAGATCTTTGAAGAATTGAGGGGAAAAGTTAGAAGTAGTGGATGGGGGGTGTTGGAGATGGTTAGAGATAATGTTAGTTATGGAAACTCGAGATAATTCTTTATTATCATTAGAATGGTGAAAGATCGGATCGTTATAAATATATTCCAAGTCAGTAATAAGTTCAGGGATGAGTTTGGTAGAGGAATTAGGGGTGGAAAAATTTCTGATCTAAGCTTACAATGTTGAGGACGTGAAGGAAACCTATGGATGAGGATTGTGGACCAATATCGTCTCATTTGGGTGTATCTATGGACTAACGATTGCTGAAAATATATATATATTATAAATATATATATTTATTAAAATATATTTATTAAATTTATATATATATATATATATGTATAGATTGTATGTATATATATATTTATGTATATATGCGTTTATTTTTACTAGAACTTTTTTTTTGACACTGCTAACTAGAGTTTTTGACACTGCCAGTGTTTCAACCGCCTCCCGCAGTGCCACATCCAACGGTATGTTTTGACTTTTATTGAGATTCCTTTCTTAACACACCTATCCTTCAACTATACACCTTATTATTATCTTCATATAGCCTACCATTCCATTACCGCTTTCAAAAAACTAAATGTCAATTGTCATCTATATATAGTACAACCTGTTTTTTGTTTCTTTATCATCATAACCTTGTTTTTACATTTATTCTTACATTTTAAAGTATTCTTTTAAAATTATTGTTTTCTTATAGAGTTATTTATACTTAATAATCTATCCCAACAATATTACACTAATGTTACCCTATTAATCTTTCAATTTCTTCACTTCTTAACCTTTGGTCCCGTTATCTGTTTATTTACAATTAAAGGTAACCTCCACTTGCTTGTTATCCACTGATATCTTATTATTATGTTATCTTATCCATATTTTAACTTTACTGTAACAATAGTTATTCAATTTTCAATCAATTTATTCGTTAACATTCATTTATTCGTTAACATTCATGTATTTATTTTCTTTTATCTATTTTCTTATCATGTATTTATTTTCTTTATCTTTTATTTCTGTATCTGACAACTTCTTCGTAATTTATATATACTTATATTTATTTTTATTTTTTCAACATGTTTGTATCTTTTGTAGCCCTGAAGACGACCTGCAAAGTGGGTCGAAACGTCGGCAAAAATTAAAATTATTTATATATTTTAATTTTTTTTATTTTTTTTTGACCGCACCCTCTTAAACATTAAAGTTGAACTTCTTGATCTCTAAATGTATGGCAAGGTTAAGGAAGTAGTAACTGTTTAAGGAAAGACACTTCTATTTATAACGGGCCTATTGCTCTGATTTTTTATAAATATAATATCTAATCAAACTCTTTTGTTCAATTATCGGAATGAATAGTAATAAACAGTTTTATAATATAATTCAGATTCTTCCTTTTGTGTAAACATGAACCATGTTACACATTTTCATGCTATTTTTTTATTTATTCTATTATTCTTTGATTATATATATATATATAATATAGAATATTATAATAAAAGAACTCTCGTATAAAATTTTAACATGATGCATGCTTGTGCAAAAGGAAGAGTCTGAACTATGTAAGAAGTTTTTTGGGCCAGTTAACTATGAGTAGTTTTTGATAGCTAATGTATCTCTTGATCATTTGTTTCTTGTCATGGAAATTGAATATACCAATAACACATAGAGCAACTTTTAAAATGTTCTGATAGAAAAAAATAAATATTTTTTAGAAATAATTATTGAATGTTAGGAATGTTGTTTCCATTGGAACCTTTTAACACTGTTTCACCATCTTCAAAATAAATATTTATATAATTTAATGATGTTGTGTATTTGTTTAGCCTCTTAATTTTATATTTATTGTAATGCCAAGCATACACTCAGTTGAAGAAATAAAGCAAGAGTGTTAAGTATTAGAGGTTGTTCTAGACTAAATATTATATAAATGGTTCACTAATTATCGAAATCCTGTTGTAAAACATTCCTTTTTTTTTCTATTTTTTATTGTAGTTTTCTCAAATAATAATGAGTTTTCTAACACTGCATAATTATTTTTTCAAGTGTTTATCCTGATAGCCAAATTACTATTTGAAAAATTAAATTTAAATTTTTTATCGCTAATTTTTACAAAATTTCTTTATAAAAATTTAAGATTTATTGAATTATTATTTTTAAGAGGGCAACTTTTACTCTACTCACACCTCATAATTATATAGTTCGTAGTGCACCGTATGCCCTTAGATTTTTACATATAAGTGATGGTTCATCTTCTGATGTCAGAGAGCCCCACACAGAAAAACTATTGAAGACTGCTTATGACCTTGCTAGACAAATACAATTTTTACAAAGCCGAGTATAAGAGTTATGGCCTCTCTTCTTGTGACTCGCAGCTGACATGCTTTCTGTGTGGCGCACACTGCATAAACTTTATATGTTCATAATTAGAGCATCTTTTTTTTTTTTTTTTTTTGTTTGTTTTTTTGTTAGTGGTGTTGTTTAAAGCTTTATTTGCATGGTTTGCATTGGCTTAGTGTCTGCTGTTGCTTTTATTTGTTAAAATATGATTTATTTATAGAATTAGTTTATAGTATTTATTATACCATTAACTTGAAGTATGATTTATTTATGTTTTTTTCATTTATTAATATATATAATACAGTATATTTTTTAAACACCAAAAATTATTTTTAATATATATATTTTTTTATGCATAGGTTGTTGTAAATGCTTTAGTTCAAGCAATACCAAGCATCTTCAATGTGTTATTAGTTTGTTTAATATTCTGGTTAATTTTTGCCATAATGGGTGTTCAGCTGTTTGCTGGGAAATATTATAAGGTAAATTACAACAATCAAAATCTTGTTTTAATTTTTTTTTAATATATATCATTGACTGAAGTAGTAAAATAATCCTAACTATATATTTATTATAGTGTGTGGATGCAAACAAAGCTGTTTTGAGCTACGAAATAATTCCGGACAGGAATGTTTGTGAGGCTGAAAACTTAACCTGGGAAAATTCTCCTATGAATTTTGATCATGTAGGAAAAGCATATTTATGTCTTTTTCAAGTGGCAACTTTTAAGGGCTGGATCCCAATCATGAATGATGCCATAGATTCTAGAGATGTTGGTTTTAATAATTTTCAGTAATTTTTTTAACATATAATTTATTTTAATAATATCTATTAATTATTTTTATTCTGTTTTAGATTGGAAAACAACCCATAAGAGAGACAAATATATATATGTATTTATACTTTGTATTTTTTATAATATTTGGTTCTTTTTTTACTCTTAATCTATTCATTGGAGTTATCATTGACAATTTCAATGAACAAAAGAAGAAGATGAGTATCACTAAAGTTTTAAATTTTTTTTTTAATATACTCTTGTTTATTTCTTTATTATAGAATACATACATTAAATAATGTCAAATAAATAGCCCAATAACTATTTATATTAAAACAACCATAAAGGATCATATTGCTTATCGTTTGAAATGATTAGTGTTACCTAAAGATTTATTATTATTATCTATTTTTTTTTTTGCCAAATTCCACTCATGGTTACTTTTTTCCAGGGCCCCACATCACTAATCCGGGGCTATTACATTACTATTCCAGACCCTTTGCATTGTGATATGGGTTAGGGGAGGACTTCATATTTCAATATTTTAATTAAAAATTGACTATTTTTTTATTTTTCCTTTTGATATAATATAATTAAGAAATATAAATCTCTTTCATTGTAAGTAGTTGTCGAGAACCTGTGTTGCATCAAGCTTGAAGTAATTTGATCATGTCTACCAATCCTTCAAGCAGTTTCCTTCATACCATGACACCAACAGGATTTATTTTGTCTTTATTTACTGTTTCTATACAATTTACCACCAAAATTTCCTTTAACTTGAGAAAGAATGATCCAAATATTTATTAATAGGATGTTGTTAAAGTCACAAAATCACATGGAACATATCTCATTTTAACTGAGTATTATCAGTTCTATTTTAAAATGTATGAGTTGTTAGATTTACTTTGAGTGAAACTGAAAATTTAGTAGTAGATGAATATTAAATTTTATGATAAAAGGCTAAGTCACATTGTGTTGAAAAATAATGAGATTATATTCATACTGTGCAGCATAGGACTTCAATGTAAGTCTTGGGCCAACAAAAGAAAAAACTTACTTCTCTGAAAAATGATCACTAGTCATCAAACTTGTCAAGAAATAGTAAATATTTCAAATTTAAACCCAAAACCCCAAGCCCCAAAACTCATAACCTGAGGAAGGATTAAGTATTCAGAATATATATTACCCACCAGGTCCTTCATCAATCAATGATTTAAAAGAAACTGTTTATGGCTTGAAGATTAAAAAGGTTTTAAAGAAAATTAATTGTTTATATATATAGTGGAATAAATAAACTTAAAGGGAAACATATATATTTATAATATTAATCTTCTGTTGTGGCTTAAGGTGATACAAACCAACCAATTTTTTCATATTTCTAGTTTTTTTCTTCACAGAACCATCATCAAACTCTAGCTCCCACAGAATCAACCCAAGGTATTTGATAGTGTCACCCTCTTCAGTGTAGCTGATTACCTCTCCGGTATCTAATCGAAACCTTGGTTTTATTTAAGTTTCTCTTCTCTAAGGTGATTCCAGAACTTTTTTGGGGGCTTAGGGACTGTCCTAACTCATGAAGTATCTTTCGAAAGCAATTTATTGCCCTCTCCTTAGCTTCAACACCGCAAGCTATAACCGCTTGATCATCAGCAAAGCCTACAAGTAGAATGGGATTGTGGTTATGGAACAATTTGTAACAATATTCCTCCGCAATATCCAATTAAGGACTGAACAACTAACATTTTGGACCAACATAATGAACATCATTATTATAAGGAGATTCTTGGCTAAACTATCAGCCCATTATAGTGTATTCTTAATTTTCACTTCAGTTCATTAAAATAAATTTTATAAAAAATATTATAAATATTAACTATGATCAATTAACAGAAAAAATAATAAAAATGTTGGTTTTAAAATTAAAACTCTCATATTAAGTTATAAAACAAATCTCATGCCCTGCATCATGTTTCCAATGAGTAATTTGAAATTGAATTAATAAACTAATGTCTAGTATCTATTCACTATTGGATTTATAATAAAAAATCAACTTTTATAATTGCCTTTATATGAACTGTCTTGAGATTTTTTTTTACCTTTAAATAATGAATTCATTGTTTATTAATTTATTGACCATATAAATATATGTATTTTTTATTCTTTAAGCTGGAGGTTCTCTTGAGATGTTCATGACAGAGGATCAAAAGAAGTATTACAATGCAATGAAAAAAATGGGATCCAAAAAGCCATTGAAGGCTATTCCCCGGCCAAGGGTAAAAGAAAATTGCTCACTCTTCAATAACTTGTAAAGTATATTGTTTTTTTTTGTTTTTTAAATATTATTATTATCCTTTTCAGTGGAGACCTCAAGCAATCGTTTTTGAAATTGTGACAGATAAAAAGTTCGACATGATTATCATGTTGTTCATCGGTTTTAACATGCTCACAATGACAATGGATCATTATCAACAGACTGAAATGTTTAGTTTTGTTCTTGATATGCTCAACATGATTTTCATTGTAATTTTTTCAAGCGAGTGCCTAATGAAAATCTTTGCTCTGCGTTACCACTATTTCAAAGAGCCCTGGAACCTCTTTGATTTTGTGGTTGTTATTCTATCTATATTGGGTAAGGAATATTTATTTTTCCTTTAATATTTTTATCTACTGTTTATTTTATGTAAGGGTTTATTCAAGTAGATCAAGATGTAAAGCCTTCTTTAACAGAAAACTTTTGGTTTTATGTATTTTTTTTATCATTGTAAATATTCAATTCTATATCAGCAAATAAAGCTTTCTTACTCTCTGCAGTCTGACATGTATGGCTGCCAAACACAATGATCTCTCTCAGCTCTACTTCATAAACATGCATTTTTAAAAGTCAATATAATACATTTTAAATTAAATATTTTTATTCACAGACGAGAGGATGAGAGAGAAAAAAAGAAAGATATTTCTTTCTTCTCCACTCTCTGTCCGATCTAAGTTTCTTTAATACTAATTATCTTTGCCACCAATTATTTAAAATTTTTGACATACATTTCTATTGTTTTCCCTAACCTTCATTGACAAATGAAAATTGTAAATTCATGGTTTTCCAAACTGTGCATTTTAAAATATGATACAACCTTCTCAATCACAAATAGCCTTCTTAAGTTATTTGTTAAAATTGAAATCATTATCTGAATTAAATCACTTTTCAATCTTATCTTATTATTTTTTTTTTATTAATTAGTTATATCGTCACCACAATGCTGTTAGTCATGTGAAATACTTTACTAGATACAAAATCTTCAAATTTATCACTTATGTTTGTAGCAAATGAAACGTTGATGATAACATTTTTTATACAAATAAATCTGTGAATAAATTATAGTTCTTTGTCATCATGATTTTAAAAAGCTGAGATAGTGTATGTCTGAAAAATAATTAATCAGACCAAAACTTATCCATTATTTTATCTGTGATAAGTACCCCAGCAAAGACAGCTGACTTGAACAAAGTATTTAATTTCAGAAACTATACAAATACACTGTGCTTGACAGTAAGAGAAAAAGAAGAAGTAATTCATATATAAAAAAAAATTTGATTTTTGCCTTTGTAACATTTAAAAGTATTCAAATATACATACTACTAATCATAAGAAATGTTAATTATATTTTAAGGAATTAATTTGTTTCATTACTTTATTTATAGGTTTGGTGCTCAGTGACATAATTGAGAAGTATTTTGTAAGTCCTACACTGTTAAGAGTAGTTCGAGTAGCAAAAGTTGGCAGAGTTCTGAGGCTGGTCAAAGGTGCCAAAGGAATTCGTACCCTTCTTTTTGCTCTGGCAATGTCGCTCCCAGCACTTTTCAACATCTGTCTACTGCTTTTTCTTGTTATGTTTATTTTCGCTATTTTCGGAATGTCATTCTTCATGCATGTCAAGGAAAAGAGTGGTCTTGATGATGTTTATAACTTCAAAACATTTGGCCAGTCGATGATACTTCTTTTTCAGGTACATATTTAATGTTTCTTTCTTATACTTAAATTTACCTAAATATAGATAACATATTGATATTTATTGCTATTTGAATAAATTTAGTTAACTTATACCATTAACTCATCATTTTTAAGAAATGATAGTATGATTCATTTCATTTATAACTTCATCGTTAACCTCCATAGTTTGTTGCCAAAGAAACAATTTTTGACCATGGTCTTTTGAAAGGAATATGTATTAAAACCTTTGGTCATGAAAGAAGACTTTCTTGTCAAGTACCAAACCCAAGACCTTTGTTGGGTTTTAATAGTTTTTTTTTTCTTCTTTTAATTGTGGAATCTTCAATAAGATTTGATTTACAAAAGAAAATTCTCACTATTATGAGGATAGAAAAAAAGAAAAACCAGTGGTGAGGGATCAACAGTTTGGTGGTAATTGATCCAAATATGGAGTGAAGAAAAATATTGGAAAGTAAGAGAACAATAAATAAATAGAATTACTATCATGTAACAAAGAGTATTGTCAATCCAGAATAAAATAAGGATCTATAAAAATATCTATATTTTTTGCTGATATTAAATACAAATGAATAGATCAAGTATGTATTGAGTGATAAGATTAGTTCTTGTTGAATTCAGAAAATAGCCTGTTCTCATGATAGGAAACTGACTAGAATTAGTTTGAATCAGCAGAAAAAATTAAATAATACCGAGTGATTATGAGTTAAATTTTTAATTATATCCTTTACTTAGAACCCTGGTAAATTATCTTACTAATAAGATATAAATAATATTATTTATACTCATTAAATTTAATTAATGATTTATAAGTGTTAAATCAATTATATTATTTTTTTAATATTTAGATGTCTACATCGGCTGGCTGGGATGGTGTCTTGGATGGCATAATAAATGAGGAAAACTGTAGTAAACCTAATCCAGAAATGGGGTCACCTGGAGATTGTGGATCTTCTACCATTGGGATTGCATTTCTTCTGTCATATCTTGTCATTAGCTTTCTTATTGTTATTAATATGTACATAGCTGTTATTTTGGAAAATTATTCTCAGGCAACAGAAGATGTCCAAGAAGGCCTTACTGATGATGATTATGATATGTATTATGAAATATGGCAGCAATTTGATCCTGATGGTACACAGTATATAAAGTATGAGCAACTGTCTGATTTCTTAGATGTTCTGGAGCCTCCTTTACAAATCCATAAACCTAACAAATATAAGATTGTTTCTATGGACATTCCTATTTGTAAAGGGGACATGATGTTCTGTGTAGATATTTTAGATGCACTCACTAAAGATTTCTTTGCTCGAAAGGGTAATCCTATTGAGGAAACGGCAGAGTTAGGAGAGGTAGCACCTGGAAGACCTGATGAAGTAGGCTATGAAGCTGTATCATCTACACTTTGGAGGCAGCGTGAAGAGTATTGTGCTCGACTAATCCAAACAGCGTGGCGAAAACATAAACAAGCTCGTCAAACTTCTCCAGAATCACCAGAGCGTGCTAGAGACACTGCTGTCCTTGTGGAAAGTGATGGGTTTGTTACAAAAAATGGTCATAAAGTTGTTATACATTCACGATCTCCATCAACAACATCAAGACTTGCTGATGTTTGACCATCGTCTCAATAATTTTTTATCTCGAAATAAAACAAATAGCTTTATTGTTTTTATTAACGAATACTTGTTTTATATATATTATATATTGTGATATATGTGTGTGTATATTATATATATATATATATATATATATATATATATATATGTATGTATGTATGTATGTATGTATATATATATATATATATATATATATATATATATATATATATATATATATATATATATATATATATATATATATATATATATATATATATATATATATATATATATATATATGTATGTATGTATGTATGTATTTGTATATTGAAAGTATTGTTACATATATAGATAAAAATTAAGTGTATATATATATACATATATATATATATATATATATATATATATATATATATATATATATATATATATATATATATATATATATGTATAAATATACAAATGAAAATATAAATAAATGCGTTATAAAAATGTACAATTGTACCGCCAAGCTTTGTACAGAACTGCGTTTACGCTTCAGGGTATAGTTGCTGGTCAATTTTTCGGAAATAACAGTGTGGCTTTATGGACTGACCACATTACAAGTCCTTCCTCCGGTCTGACCCACCTCCTGTTTATCAGTGCAGTACTTTTTTAAATGAGTTGTATGCATGTGTGTGTGTTTATAGTGAGTTTTGAAGTGCACAAAACAGCATTAGAAAAGGAGGCAAAAGGTGCAGACTTCTCAACGTTAATCGAAATAAAATGTTATTAAATAGCTTCTTCAATACACCATCCTCGAGGCTAATGTGTTTATAACACGAATCACATGAAGATGTTTATATGAAGAGTTTTGGTAATTTATTTTTTTTATTTTTAATTCAACTTTGAACCAAACTAAATTCTCATGAAAATAAGAGTGGATGAGAATCATTAATGTTGTGATGCACACCATAATGAAAACTTAAAAGCTATATGAACATTTAACTGTCGTAAAGAATCATTAATGGACTTTTTTAGAGGAAGGAGAAAGTTCATAGCTTAAAGTTTTCTATTTGGTTAATCTTCATTAAACAGCTGCAATCACTTAATGTTTATGAACTTGCAAGCAACGAGACGAAGTTTGTGTTTAATGAATGGTAGTGGAAGGGCATAACACACTTCCCTGCCTGCCCTCCCTGCTACCTTTCACATATATGCCTTGTAATTATATTGTTTTCCTTTGCAATATCTAATTTGCCAATTAAAATAAAATTTAAAATTTTTATAAGAATTTATGTTGTTGTTTTCTTGTTATTTAATCCTTTTTATTTATGCCACATTAGCAAATCTTCGACAATGTAATACTCAGTAACAATTAAAATTTATACTATTACATTTTAAGGTAAGTGCTACAACTAGGTAACTACAAATTTTGCGAAATAGAGGTAATTGTAGAGAAATGTTAATATGACTTAATAACTGATGAGGATGACTCAAATGTATGTGTTGACATTTTTCAAAATACATAAATTGATTAACAGTTGAAAAAATCCTTTTTATAACTAGGAAAACTTCACATATCTGATTGTTTAACATATCACGATAGAATGTTTAATCATTTAATACTTATAATTGATTGTGCAATGACAGTTACGCTAATAAAAATAGTTTACATCCACTGGTTGATGATGCTCAGCAGGTTTACTAGAACTTTTATATTCTTCACAGAAGCAATCCATCTGTGTAGAAAAAACATGGAATATGTATAACTTAAAGTCTATTAAAGACACTGGAGGACAGGAGTGCCCAGAAGGGGATTGTATGGCCACTGGCCTGATATTGTATCAAAATTTTTCAGGGAACAAATATTAGCAGGATTCTGAATTTTTTGAGGGCCCATATTTTGATGGGGTTATAAATTTTCGGATTGAAAAGTTTTAAATCAGGAAATAAAGGGAATACATACATAGAACAAACCTCTGCAAGTGTAATTGTATATGATCTACAGTACTTTTATTTCTAATGCTTTTAAGAAGAGGAGAGCAATATAAAATCTTAGGGAGGGGAGAGGAGAGATTCATGCCCCATCAACCTTGGGAAGGATGGATACCCATGCTAAAGAAAGAATATTTCATAGAGCTGAGAAACTTCTTAAATATACTAATGATGTTTCAATTATTGCTTAGTCTAATGAAGCAATCATGGAATTTTTTGAAAATTCGTGTTGCTGAATCTAATTTTGATGAAGTTTCTCACTTATGTATTGAGTCAAGAGAAGTAGAAATTTAGTTTGTAGAGTTGTTATCTTGGTAGAACAACGTCATAGAAGTGCTTTAAAGTTCAGTCAAAATTTTAGAATGCTCAAATTGTTTTTCTATTTTAAAGTTTTGTGCACCTCTTTAAATTGTGTTAGTGTTGAAAATTTGTATATGGGTCACAATTTAGGGTAAAATGCCATTTGGGATATTCAACTTTGTTCTACTTCCCCCTTCATATTTATAAATTAAATGTAGAAACAAATTATAAAATGTTTAAAAGCAAAACAACATAAGAAATGATCTTCGAATTCTATCCAACTACCTCAGGTAAGGACTAATGAAACAGTTAAATTAGTTTTTTTCTATATTGCAAACAAAAATGAGAGAAAATAAGACAATAATGGAGGAGCCAGGACTAATTTTCAGAATCCCTTGTCAAATATTTAATTTACTACTGAAAGTTTTTTTAAATTATGCAACAAAGATAATATGTAAAGATGTTAAATAATTATGATATACATGCTATTTTTTTTATTCGATTACTTTCTACTTCGACATTTCGTAGGGCTACTATAAAAAAAATTAAAATCCCCCAGACCAGAATCCAAACAGCACACAGTGGTGCAGAACACAATTCCGAAAAAACTACGCCCACCTTAGACATACGATTTCAAAGCTCAAATAGTGGTCATTCTTAGTATATTTTCTTATTCTAAATCGAGTGAAACAAAAAGTAAACCGATAGTTTTACGCATTTTTGTTATGACTATATTTTAAATTTTGAGATCACATCGGCTTATTGTGACAAGTGTGGATTAAATAATAAATATAAAAATAAAAAAAATTGAAAAACAATAAAAATAAATTCCGTACTTCAAGTCAACATCATTACGAGAAAATTTTGAAGATTCATTTAAATTAATTTATTTAATTAATCCAAATCATTGAAGAATAATTTAAATAAAAACTGACGTAATCAATGTTTAAATGTATAGATTTATTATAATAACGAAATATGGAACGAAAGGTTAAATAAAAGTATAAATATTATATTTTTAAAACATCGACATTCTCGATAGAAAGAGCATCCTTACTTTAAAATGGTTAATATTATTGTGTGTTATAATGCTTTCACCTGAAAATCATTATTAAAATTGATTTGAGCTCTGTTGGGAAATGTAGTTTTATTACTTTCACTTACCTATATATATATTTATTTATTTCCACTCTCCCATGCCAACTAACTAGGCCAATACAAGTGTATGCAGTAGTGTGATGTTTAACATTATAACACTGCATTCTATCACACTACTGCAATGATAACAGTATACAAAATTCATTGCTAGCTCTTTTCATTTCTCCATTCTTCAATTAATTAAGCCTGGCTTCCAGAACCCGGAGGTCTTTCTGGCACTGGTCTTCTTCCGCGAGTTCCGAGGTTGAAGTGAGCTGAACCCACCGCCGTCTTCCAGCCATTTATGAACTTTTTGAACCTCGGGAAGTTTCCTTCACTCACCATCTGAAGAAACTTGACGAGGACGTAAATTCCCGTAGTTCCGATAAACGTGGCTCCAAATCCATCGAAAGCAAAGCAGGCCGTGACCACATATTCAACAGTATCCGGAATACTGTAAACGGGACATTGGAGATCTATATCCTGTCCGAGGCCATGTAATTTAGCTCTAAAACTCTCATGCCCCGCTGGAAATTGTGAAACCCAATAGTCCGGGAGGATCCATTTCGCTTGTAATCGAGATTAAACGGTTGGGAAGTATTTTCTTAAGGCACTCCCTTTCGGATTCATCAACTACCGTCTGCTCCATTCTTCAATTTCTTCCTCCCAGATTATCTTTTTCCATTTATTATGGTTTTCTATGACCCTCATTCGTAGATTTTCCGACCTAAAGACCTGTTTAGTCCTTCCTCTTGTAATGATGCCCGGCCACTTCTTCTTGCAAGAGGTAGTGAGGCTAGAACCTGCACTGCTTGATGCAACTCAGATCTATTTGCTCTGGTGACCTGAAGCAGAGTTGCCCTCTGAATCGATGAAAGCCTATTTTTCTTTCTTTGTATGAGGTTCCAGAACCAGAAAGGAGGAACATACCACAGGATACCCTCCTTAACACCTTTATAAATAGTGATTGTGGCTGGAATACCTGAGGCTCTAGAATGCGCACCACACGCGACTTAGACCGTTTATTGCTATGGCCACGCTACCTGCCAGATATTTCAAGTGAGGCGTCATAGGCCAACACCTAACCTAACTCCTAGGTAGATTACCACCTCCCTTGGACGTATCCTCTGAACTCCTTTCTACATTGTTATACGGTGTGTCCTATCTTTCTCTTAAGGAGGATGGCTTGAGTCTTGGCAGCAGCCATCCTCATCTTCTTCCTCTCACAGCAACTCGCGACTAGGCCGGCGTATCGCTTTGCTTCTTTCTTGAAACCTGCTCTGCTGTTGGAGGTCACCACAGCGGCTAGGTCGTCAACGTAGACAGTGACAGGAAACCGCTCTTCCTCTAATATTCCCGGCACCTCATCAAAAACTAGCTTTCATAGAGCAGGACCAAGAACGGGTCTCTGAGAACAACCTCTATGGAAGCTTCTACCTCGTAGTAATTACCTCTAATTCCTACACTTCTGTCCTGAAATTAGCTTCATACTAAAGCGTCTAAGTTGCTGAGGGACCACACTTCTGCAGCTGCTGGAGCACGTTAGACCACCATACGTAATCGAAGCGGAGAAAGTAGCAAAAATAAGCAGAATCGAAAAAAAACATCAATAAGTAGCAACGTGTCATACATATGAAATATATAGTAAGGGAAAGTATTGCGGT